AGACAAATGGCTATCCAACATCTTCTTAAAGGCTTCCAGTGTTGGGGCATTCACTACTTCTGGAGAAAAAGTTGTTCCACTGATTCACTGTTCTGTCAGAAAATTTCTCCTCAGTTCTTAGTTGCTTCTCTCCTGGATTAGTTTCCACCCATTGCTTCTTGTTGTGCCCTCAGGTGCCTTGGAGAATAGCTTGACTCCCTCTTCTTTGTGGCAAACCCTGAGATATTGGAAGATGCTATCATGTTTCCACTGGTCCTTCTTTTCTTTAAACTAAACATCCCCAGTTCCTGCAACCGTTCTTCGTATGTTTTATCCTCCAGTCCCCTAATCCTCTTTCTTGCTCTTCTCTGCACTCTTTCCAGAGTCTCCACACCTTTTCTACATCGTGGCAACCAACAAACAGCGCCTAAATTTTGATCACGTGACCATGGGGGTGCTGCAACAGTTTTAAGTGTGAAAACAGCCATAAGTCACTTTTTCCAGTGCCGCTGTAACTTTGAACGGTCACTAAACAAATACTTGTGCGTGAAAAATGAGCAAACTTTTATCCGGGCATTGGTTGACCTGATCTATTTTCACACTGATGCCCAGATTGCTCCTGAAAAAGGCCCATCTTTGCATCCTTTGCATGTTCGCTTGTTCTAAATTAAGCATCTCAGATTCTGGGTCAGGACTGTCCCCATTGTTACCATGTTTGGTTAGGCAATTAAAAACTTTTCCAACCCCGCGGCTTTCAATTCCTCCTGTGCTTTTCACAATCTCCGTTACATCTGGATCAGGTGCGGAGGACGGAATCCTCCCAAGCGTTCCATGCTCATCCAAAGGGAATACGATATTAAATCACCCTCTAGCTCTGTTCCAGCAAACTGAAGAAATCGCCACTTAACTAGGCCAGCTCTCCCCGTCTCGAATGCTGCTGGATAAGACTGGCGGTCACCATGGAAAGCTCCTCGCGCACTAAAAAGTTGGGAGCAGTATTGCCATATATGGAGAATGAGGAAGGCACATCCCTGTAGTAGCGGGGTGAGGAGCGTCGTTTGTTTCTGCCTCAAGAACAGACGCTTCTCCTAAGGTGGCCAGGTTGTGGCAGTCACATCTGTTGCGGGGAAAACACTGCCCGTCTTTCAAACAGGCCGAAGCAAACCGCCATCGGCTTGGCCGGATGCATGGAGAGTGTGCCCACGTCGTCCCCCCCCCTTCTCCTTTTAGCAATAGCACTTAAGACATAGACTGCTCCGCTGAGCTTCGCGGCAAAGGGCCTCCAACCTTGGAAACTTTAAGACCTGTGGACTTCAACTACCAGCCAGCAGAGCTGAAGTCTTCAAAGTTGCTAAAGTTGGAAGTCTCTGCTGTAAAGCCGAGACTCTAAGCACTTTGTAGAGACAGCTTCTTGCCCTCAACAACCTGGGTCCTCATTTAACCGATCTCGGAAAGATGGAAGGATGAGTCAACCTTGAGCAGGTCACGATCGAACTCCTGGCTGTGGGCAGTCAGCCTGCAATGCTGTATTCTAACTGCTGTGTCATCTCGGGAAGGAGGAGGGAAGGAAAATAGCCCTTAGACTTATATCTTATAGTTAGAACAGTTAATCAGTGGAACAGAAGTTGCCTCCAGAAGTTGTGAATGCCCCAACACTGGAAGTNGTGGGTGAACCGAGGTGCACCCACAATCGCTCGCGCGGCTGCATTCTGAACTAGCTGAAGTCGCCGAATGCTCTTCAAGGGCAGCCCCATGTAGAGCACATTGCAGTATTCCAGCCTAGAGGTCACAAGGGCACGAGTGACTGTTGTGAGGGCCTCCCGGTTCAGGTAGGGACTTTTCTAGTTGGGACGGCAGACAGGTGGCTTCAAGAAGGTCCTTACTTTGACAAAATCAAGAACGGCTTCCTTCTGAATCTGTTTTGTCTTCCTCTTCTCCTCCTCATGGTGCAGGGCCGCCAGCTGCGCTTCCCTCCGCGTCCACTCCATGAAGGGCTCACGCCGTTTGGGTGGGTCAGCCTCTGCGGGAACGTTCTGCGGGTGGGGTGGGGTGGGGGAGGAGATACAGAGGGACAATGAGCTGAAAGAAAAACCACCAGCTGCGTCCTTCGGAAGTTGGCGACGTGTGTTCAATGTGTTCAAAGACCACTTACCTGATGGTGAGCATTGGACAGAGACCCATGGGCAGCAGACTCTCGGCAACCCCTGGAGGGAGAGAGGAATTTATGGGAGGCAGGGGAAACATAGGATGCTGTGACTGCACATTGTGCCAGATGTTCCACAGACTGGAGCATTTATACTATGCTCGCAGGGATTTCAGCTTGCGCACTCCACTGGGTGTAGCGGTGAAGGTGCGGGTCTAGAAACCAGGAGACGCAGAATTCTAGTCCTGCCGTTATGCATGGAAGCCTGGGAGAATGACTGTGGGCCAACCAACAGGGGATACTGGGTTCTAATCCTGCCTTAGGCATGAAAGCCAGCTGGTGACTTTGGACCAATCACCAGGAGATGGAGAGTTCTAGTCCCGCCTAGAGGCATGAAAGCCAACTGGGTGACTCTGGGCCAATCAGCAGGGGATGATGAGTTCTAGTTCCACCTTAACCATAAAAACCAGCTGGGTAACTTTGGGACAATCTCCCTCACTCAGCGCAATCTACCTCACAGGGTTATTGCTGGAGAAATAGGAAGAGGAAGGAATATTCCGTTTGTTGCCTTAACTTGTTTATAAAATAGTAAAAGGCAGGATAAAGAAAATCCAACGAATGAATGAAAAATAATTCACCCCACGCTACACAGCACCGTGAAAGAAATTTGTCTGAAGAGTTCGCATCCAAAACATGCTTTATTTAGGATGCCTGTCATTTACCCAATATTTATTTAATTTATTTGCATATTTGTCATGTTTATGTAGTGTATATTGAAGGTGGCGACCCTTTGAGAGCTGTTATGCAACAAAATTTCATTTCCATATATGCCGATTAGTGTACATTCAAAGGGACAATAAAGTTATTCTAAGTTCTAAGTCTAATAGCTGAGCTCTGGGAAGGGTATAAAGTTATGGAAAGTATTTCTTTTCCTTCTTTAAATAAAACTTTCTCTCACGTGCTGATTTCTACTTTATTCAGCAAAGGATATTTCCCTCCCGCTCCCTTTCGGGTCCTTACCTTTCTGACCGATCTATAAGGCTCCTTAATCCTTGCGGTCGTTCCCTATCTTGCATTAAATTCAGACTTTCGGGTCGTTTTAATTCCTCTGCATCTCTGCAAACACATAAATACAGCAAAGAGGAGACGATGGGAAAATAGGAGTAGATAAAGTCCCATAAGACAGTGACACAATTCTCTTTTGTGATAAGCATTAGGAAGAGCGCAGAAACGGAGTGAGGGACAGTGAAGCCAAAGAAATTAAAGGTTTGAGAGATGACCAAAAGGAAATGGAGCTTTATCATTCCTTTCTATTGTGCTTTGGTCATATTTAGAATACAATAGCAGAGTTGGAAGGGATCTTGGAGGTCCTCTAGTCCAACCCCCTGCCTAGGCAGGAAACCCTATATCGTTTCAGACAAATGGCTATCCAACATCTTCTTAAAGGCTTCCAGTGTTGGGGCATTCACTACTTCTGGAGAAAAAGTTGTTNAACCTGGCTGGCCATGCCCACGCTCACTCGGCTAGTGGTGAATTCTAATTTCCCTTTTCACCTGCTCTGTGGGCGTGGCTTTGTAGGGGTGTCATGTGACTGGGTAGGAGTGGCTTACTTTTTTTTTTTTTCATTTTCAGCTATTATTTTTAGCTTTTTAAAGCATTTAAAAAGCAGGAAAAACGGTTCCGGGGATCATGCGGCTCACAGCTGAGCCGCGCGATCCTCGGAAGCTTTCCTTTTACTACTGGTTCGCAGAACCAAGGACAATCGTCCCAACCGGTTTGGCTGAACCCGGCTGAACCAGAAGGATTTCACCCCTGCACCCCACCCCTCCCTGGAATCTCCATGCAGCCCGTTCATCGTGCCAGGTAAGTACAGGGCGTGGAGGTTCGGGGAGGGGGGAAAACGGGCCTACCGGAGGTTCTGGAAGTCCAAAAATGGGCCTGTTTCCAACCTCCAGAGGGCCGTAGAGCCTGGGGAGGGAGGAAAACGGGCCTACCGGAAGTTCCAGAAACAGGCCTGTTTCTGGCCTCCAGAATCCAGGGGAAGCAGTTTTCTACCTCCTGGAGGCTCGAGGTACTCCCCCAGAGCCTGGGGAAGGCAAAAAATGTCTCCCCGGCCCCCCGCTTCAGGAAGCTGACTTGGCCACACCCACCATGGCCACGCCCACCCAGCAACGGGGCAGCGAACCCATTGCTGCAATTTTTGAAGCCCACCCCTGGAGCCAAGTCTCAAAAACAACCAAAAAGAGGGGGGATTATTCTTCTGATAGACACACACACACTGTTTTGAAATTTATTCAACATCAGATTAAGAAATCCTTTCGCTGCGCACTGGCTTTTATCACCACGGCTGCAGCATCCTTATCGGGATTCTCTCTAAACAGGAGTGCTGCCAAAAGAGAAACTTTCCACCCTGAAAAGATAAATTTCCTTCACTGGAAGATAAAGGAGGGGAGGGGGAAAAAAAAGATTAAAACTTCCAGCTACCAATTGGAAGGTTTAATGACTACCCACGAAACCAGAGATAGCAGTTCACAACAAAGCTCCAGGGAGTGTGTGTGTGTGTGTGTGTGTAATCTTTGCTTTGGCACAGAAGAATTGATTTATTTGGGAGTAACAGGATTATCACTTGGGCGGCGATCCTAAAATTATGTTTTACAGAATGCCGTTTTTATCATCAAGGGCTTTTAAAAAAATCACTTTTTCCCAACTTTTCACAAGGAGGAAGTTCCTGACAGAGAGAACAATTGACCAGTGAAGCCTCTATTTCTCTTTTTCTTCTTTCTTTTGATTCTTACCGTATTTTTTGGAGTATAAGACACACACACACCCTCCCAAAAAAGAGGGTGAAAATCTGGGTGCTTCTTATACACCGAATACAGCATTTTTGGTCTCCTGAAACCCCACCCTGCGGATCTCATTTTTTGCAAAAATGGATGAGCAGAGGGTTGGGGGGGGGGCTGCAGAGTGCTCCTGGGGGCTGGGGAGGGCAAAAACCTTTTTTAAAAAATTTACCTCTTCGAAATCTTGGTGCGTCTTATACTCTGGTGCGTCTTATAGTCCGAAAAATATGGCAGTTTCTGTTAGTTTTGATTTGTATGTTTTATAAAACATTTAACCAAATTATTAACAAATTATTTCCTGCACTATCCAAGGACTTGTGGAAAAAAAGCTATTATTAATGTCCTGAGCTCACAGGAGCCAGACCCAAGATTTAGCTGATATTTTGGCAAGTCCAGGGCTGTTCTTTTTAGGACTTCAGCAGAGTGCTGGAAGCACAAAAGTTGAAAGGTTAGAGTTAGGGATGAAAGCCAGCCATTTGCCCCGGGTATCTAATAAAACACAGCTATATTTCATCCTTTGGTTGACTGGGCCTACAATTAACCCCAGAGCCAAACCCTACATCAAGGAACCGAAAGCAAATGATAAAGCTTTTGAAACCATCCACTTATTTTCAAGGCAAAGGTAGTCCTCGTTTAGCAACCATAACGGGGAGCTGCAGCTCAGTCGTGAAGCGGTCGCTATGCGACCACAACTACGCTTACGATCTGACTTTCTTTTTTGGCTTACAAAGTGGCAAGGATGGGTCACAAAGTTATTATTTTTTTCATTGCCGTTGTCACTGCAAATGGTTATTTTACCAGGGTCGCTAAGTGAGGACTACCAATCTCAGCAGATCATTTGTTTAAGAGATTATTTCCCATAAATGGGAGCGGTTGAAGGAAAATGGCCAATTTTATGTGCTTTTATTTAATTTTCAAGCCACCCTGAGATGGTTAAACACTTCAAATATATAAGAATATTTCCAGCTCAGAAATATCGAAGTGTCCTTGGTGCTCTCTGAGCGTCGTCATTTTCCTGCAGACGTTTCCTTACCAAGTTAGGTAACATCATCAGTGCAGTGTGGCTTCCAGCATTGATGACGTTATCTAGCTGGGTAATGAAACGTCTGCAAGAAAATATCCAAGCTCAGAGAGCACTAAGGACCCAACACTTCAAATATATCTATTTATCCATAATTCTCAACTCTTCTCATCTTCTGGTTCACTTTAACATGCAATCCTCAAATACAAATCAACTAAAAAGCCACAAAATGAGAGCTATTACCTCCACCATTTGTCACTACGGAGTTTCCTCTGTGTTCTTGATAATGGCTCTCTCTTCTCAACCTCTGTTCTTTCGTGATCTCTGCCACTCGCAGGGGAAGATCAGAAAACTCATCTGTCGGCTGCATTAAAAATAAAAATAAAACCCCTTTCATATTTGTTTAAACCTTTGAGACAGAACCTTTGTTAAGTCTTTCCTGGAAAAAGCTGCACTTAAGTCACTGGACAGTTTTAAAAATACAGACACCCATACAGTCCATACAAGATTTATTACTAGTAAAGAGAAATTTACTCAGTAGCAAAGTTCAATCCTAGGTATTATCTCTTGGCTCAGTTTAGTGAATTTCTTAAAGGTAAAGGTTCCGCTCGCATATATGTGCTAGTTGTTTCCCGACTCTAGTGGGTGGTACTCATCTCCGTTTCAAAGCCAAAGAGTCAGCGCTTGTCCGAAGATGTCTCCGTGTTCATGTGGCCAGCATGACTCAATGCCAAAGGTGCATCAAACACTGTTCCCTTCCCACCAAAGGTGGCTCCTATTTTTCTACTTGCATTTTTTACGTGCTTTCAAACTGCTAGGTTGGCAGAAGCTGGGACAAGTAACGGGAGCTCACTCCGTTATGCGGCGCTAGGGATTCGAACTGCCAACCTATCTGATCGACAAGCTCGGCGTCTAAGCCACTGAGCCTCCACGCCCCTTAAGGAATTTCTTAAGGACCCCTCAAACTGAATGTCAGAAAAGTGGCAAAAATCTACCTCCAGATTTGGGAGAATTTAGGATCCATTTCAAAGGACGTTCCTCATTTTGATATATTTGCACAGCAATTCAACGTGGACAAATATATTTTTATTCCTATCAACAAATATTTCAAACTACTGCTTCCAAGTTCTCACCATTAGAGTAACAATTTCAATTTCTTCGATTTCAGTACTATTAGCAGGAGGGGGAGGGGGGGGAAATTCCTTTGAAAGGGAATGACTTCAATGAACTGAGCCAAATTTGAAATGACCCTTCTCTCTCTCTTTTCTTTGCAACCTTCTTGGCTTGACTAGGCTTTTATCAGAATCAAATATTTGATAGGTTCCTGCCTCCTCGACTTACGATAAGTGGCATGAAAGGATGCTACTGATTAATGGCTTTCCAGCCTCCATTTTTTTTTTTGCAATTTCAGAGACAAAAGTGAGACGCAAGAGCAAAATAAGATGCTTCAAGATGACAGGCCTTTGAAACACGGATTTTGCGTTGTTCTGCCTCCCTTTCCTACGCTACAAATTACCTGCCAGCCGAATGCAAACCAAGCACGCTTACTTCATTTCCTGACCACCTCTTATCTCCGCTGTCCACGCTGTTGAACCCGGAATCCAGTGCTCCATATGGTCGACTCAAATACAGGTCTTCGTGGCTATCGAAGGGAGAAAGGAAGGATAAATTCTTCGGGAAACATCCGATATTAGGCAGGAATACAAAGGGCACAGTCGACCCTTTTCGGGCTGCTTTCTATGCTAAAGGTGGTGCTACAAGAGAGGCCTTGTTCTTACAACAAAAATATTTTGTTTTGCCTTTTCCTCCTCACACTTTTGTTGCACTTCTATTAGCTTGGTCTGCTACATGTAGAAGCATTGGTCAACTGTGTAAGGCAGGGGTGTCCAAACTTGGGAACTTTAAGACTTGTAGACTTCAATTCAACTGGCTGGGAAATTCTGGGAGTTGGAGTCCACAATTCTTAAAGTTCCCAAGTTTGGACACCCCTGGTGTAAGGTATCAGCCAACTGGTATTATTTTATTTTATTGTTTTATTTGTTGGGTTGGGTTGTATTATATTGTACCGTGTTTCCCCGAAAATACGACATGGTCTTATTTTCTTTTTACTTACAAAATATGGCCTGTCTTACAGAGGGTTCCTTACAGAGAGTTCCAGCCGCCAGCCCACAACCATAGAGCGCACTCCTAGAGCGGCCGCTGCTGGAAGACTCAGCAGCCGAGTTTTGGAGTTTGGAACCAGAGAAGACGTTATGCTCTTTCTGCCGGCAGGCAAGCCACTGCGCCAGCTCAGCTCCACTCTGCATGTGCGTGTCTCCCACAGGGAGCGAGTCTGTGTTTTCAGGTCTCTGTGGGGCTTGTGGGAGACACACGTGTATGTGAGGGGGACAGGGGGAGCAAAGGGGGTTGAACGCACATGTGAGAGGAGCGCATGCGGGGGGGTGTCACACAGGGGTGATTACACGTGCATGTGTAGGGGGATCGCACGCATGCATGCATGGACCATACATGTGGGGTCACGCAGGCACTGCATTATGAGTGACCGCCAGAGGTGAGTTCCTACCGGTTCGGCTGAAAAGGTAGTAACTCAGCCGGACATGTGACCGTTCTATCCTGGGCACCACCATCTTTACTTTCTGTTCTGCACGTGTGCAGAACAATCTTCATTGAAAAAAATTAATCTCCCCCCCCCCCTTTTTTAATGGTGTGCCAGTCCCAGAGAGGGGTCATTTTTTTCAAAAACGGAGGTGTTTTTTGCCTTCCCCCCCACCCAGGAACACTCTGCAGGCTTCAGCAGGGCTGGGGGGGTGGCAAAAATGCCCCCCCCNGCCTTTATTATTTTCAGAAGTAACTCAAGGTGGAGAACACACATAATATCCCTTCTTCTATTTTCCCTATAATAAACTTCAGAGATACACCCAGTCAGCTTTCATGCCTAAGGCGGGACTAGAACTTACCGTCTCCTGGCAATTGGCCCAAAGTCAGCCAGCCAGGTTTCATGTCTAAGGCGGGACTGGAACTCAAGGTCTCCTGGTTTCTAAGCCAGCTTTTTAACCCCTACACCAAAATGGCTCTTTTATATCTTAAAAAAAAAGTGAGTTGGGACTTTTGTGTTATACATTAAGTTTAAGCTCTCCCTCAAAGGTTCTTATAAACTATTATGAAATAAAAGTTCTCACCTGTTTTGATGGAGGTATTTTCTTGAATCTTCCGACCTAGGAAACTCTCGGCTGTTTGTAGGTTTTACAGGTGAACCCTTCATAAAACGAGACAAAAAATAGAATACTACAATCAACATTTAAGATTTTCATCAGTCTCGACTGACCATGTTCAGTCTTTAAAAAAATATTTGAAGCAAACAAAAATGATCAGCAAGCAGAGAATGAATTCGGGTTGCTTCCTGTATATAGATCCCAACAAACACAGGTAGTCCTCAACTTATGATCACAAATTTCCATTAAGCAAGACTGTTGTTAAGTGAATCAGGCTTGATTTTACAACTTTTGGCACAGCTGATAAATGAATCACTGCAGTTGTCAGTCAACTGAATGGCACAATCATTAAATGCCTCCAACTCTCTCACCTTCCCCTGACTTTGCTTTTTGGAGATAGGCCTGGAAGGTCACAGTCTGCATTACTATGATTATTAGTCTTCTCATCGTTCCTATCCCCCATCTCCTCCCACTTATGACTGCAGGACTGTTCACTTTGTGACATTAAAATACAAATCCGTGCAGTGGACCTGTTAGCTGGACCAAGTTTAGCCCTGCTCTGTGTAGGCGCTGAAATCTCCCTTGGCATCTTCAGTTCGGAATTAAAATAAGCTCTGTAAGATGATCCTAACATGGATTTGTTTATACCCAAGGAGAAAAAGTTTTTCCTCCTGTTGCAGCTGCTCCTACGAGCTAGGATTTCTCTCAGCGAGAGTGTTGGGTTTGCAAATGGCCGGCCCTCAGGCAGTCCTTGACTTACGACCACAATTGAGCCCCGAATTTGCCAGGTGGCACAATTGAAACCTGGGTTTTGCCCCCTTTTACAACCTTTCCTGCCACAATTGTTAGTTAAGCGAATCACTGCAGTTGTTAATTTGGTGACACGATTGTTGACTGGCTTCCCCACCGATTTGGTTTGTCAGAAGGTCAAGAAAGGAAGATGAGGTGAACCCAGGACACTGCAGCCGTCATCAGTGTGAGTCAGTGGCCAAGCGTCTGAATTCTGATCACGTGACCACCGAGATGCGGCAGCGGTCGTTAAGGGTGAAAAACGATCGGTTTTTCAGTGCCACTGTGACTTGGAACAGTCATTAAACGGATGGTCGCAAGTCAAGGACCACCAGTGGATTGAATTCCACAGGTGGCCAACTCATTTGCAATTATCCCGTTCACTGTTTAATGAAGAACTCCTGTTCTTTTGCTGGCTACCTTTGATTTTTGTTTTTTCCCCACAAAGGAAATTTATATTTTTAATAGTCTAGTGGGCTCCAGAACTGACTCTAAGTGCTATTGCTATTCCTTCCTTCCTTTCCTTTCCTTTTCCTCCCTTCCTTTCCTTTTCCTTCCTTCCTTCCTTTCCTTTCCTTTCCTTTTCCTTCCTTCCTTCCTATTCATCAACTGGTTTACCAAGGTAATACAGATAGTCCTCGACATACAACAGTTCATTTAGTGACTGTTTGAAGTTACAAGGGCACTGGAATAAGGGACGTTTCACCGTTTTTCACAGGGAGGAGCGTTGTAGCAAAATTAGGACATTGGGCAACTGACTCATATTTATGGCCATCATAAATCCCCCCCCCCTTTGTGACTTTCTGACAAGCAAAGTCGACGGAGAAGCCGGATTCACTTAGCAACCGTGTTGCTAAACTTTACAGCGGCAGTGATTCACTTAACAACTGTGGCAAGAAAAGTCGTAAAATGGGGCAAAACTCACTTAACAACATAAACGTTGGGTTCAATTGTGATCATACGCTGAGGATTACTTGTAGAGGGTCAGAAAAATTCTGAGCTACTGCAATTTCAAGAATGGAAATATAAAAGGTCTTTTTGGCCATTTCCACACAAGCAGTAGAGCTAGTCCTCGAATTACAACAGTTCAGTTAATTACCGTTCAAAGCTACGACGGCATTGAAAAAAAAGGCACCATTAACCATTGTTCACACTTATGAACTGTTACAGCATCCCCATGGTCACGCAATCTTCATCTGGATCCTTGACAACTGACTCACATTTATGACGGTAGCAGTGTCTTGGGGGGGGGCTTTCAACAAGCAGCGCTCATGAGAAAACCCAATTCACTTAATGACTGTGTTACTAACTTAACAACTGCCGTGATTCGCTCCACAAAGATTGCAAGAAAAGTCTTAAAACAGGGCAAAACTCACTTAACGAATGTCTCACTTAGCAACAGAAATTTTGGGCTCGATTGTGGTCAGTAAGTCGAGGACTAGCTGTAATTAAGTTGGGCAACAGACACGGGGATATTATCCCAGAATGAACAGAAGGCTGATATGTGTATGTGTGTGTGTGTGTGTGTGTGTGTGTGTGTGTGTGTAGAGGCCATCCTGCTTAACCAAAAGATCATCTGAGCAATTAAAGAACAGTAAATCTCATTACCGCTTAACATTGAATGAATAATGAAGGCTGTGTTTGATCCGGAGTGCATGATGGGATATAAAGTGAAAGTTTTGCAAGGATCCCGGAAGGGAAGAAAGGAATGTTTGCCCCAAGGGACTTCCCCCCCCCTTTTTTTTAAGCACATCTACACACTGTTGGGTGACAAAGAGAAAAATGTGGACACAGGACACGCCGACACAGAGCAGAAGATACCGTCTGTTTCTAACAGACATGTGCATGCAGGCCTCTTGCCGTGTTCGCTGCAGATCGGAGCCAGGGAGGGGAGCAAGTGTGTTACAGTGACATTGCCTTAATTTGATTTTAGGCTTATGAAGAGCCCTTTCATCTCCCAGCCTCCAGCCCTTCACAGGAGGAGAGAGATTCTGCCTGGTCAGCCAAAACCAACCGTTGAGTCTTTCACATTAATTTAGAGCAGGGGGTCTCCCAACTGCGGCCACTTTAAGCCTTGTGGACTTCAACTCCCAGAATTCCTCATCCAGTTGGGATGAGGAATTCTGGGAGTTGAAGTCCACAAGTCTTAAAGTGGCCGAGGTTTGGAGGCCCCTGATTTAGAGGGCAACTTAGACACGTAGAATAACTTTATTGTCACTTTGAATGTGTTGTTTCTCTGTCAAATAATAGATGTGAGTACATGCATAATTTTGTATTTATTTATTATATGCAGCGTATATCGGAGGTGGTGACCCTTTGACAGCTGGATGCAACGAAATTTCATTTTAATATATGCCAATTAGTATACATTCAAAGTGACAATAAAGTTATTCTAAGCATCTAATTAGGGACCCAGTGGCTCAGTGGCTAAGACGCTGAGCTTGTCGATCAGAAAGGTCGGCAGTTCGTCGGCTCGAATCCCTAGCGCCACGTTAACAGAGTGAGCTCCCGTGACTTGTCCCAGCTTCTGCCAACCTAGCAGTTCGAAAGCACGTAGTCCTCAAGTTGTGACTGCAACTGAGCCCAAAACTTCTGCTGCTAAGTGAAACATTTGTTAAGGGAGTGTATACTCGATGTCACGACTTATCTTGCCATGTTAAGTGAATCGTTGCAGTTGTTAAATGAGTGACCCAGTTGTGAAGTGAATTTGGCTTCCCCCATGGACTTGCTTGTTAGAAAGTCGCAAAAGGGGATCACGTAACCCCAGGACACTGCGACCGTCGTAAATACGGATCAGTTGCCAAGTATCCGAATTTTGATCATGGGACCATGGGGATGCTTGCAAGGGTCGTTAAGTGTGGAAAACAATCATAAATCATTTTATTCATTGCCATTGTAAGTTTGAACAGTCTCTAAATCATCTTCAAGTTGCCAAGGTTGAGAAACACTGCACTAAAATGGTTGGTAGGCGGTATCTGTCCCTCCCTTCCCTGTGAAAAAAGGTATATGAATATAAATATTCTGGTCTGCATGGCTGCATCTGGGTCAGCCTAATTTGGGGGTTTATATATAATCTTATATATTTAGCTAGTGCCAAAAGATTATGCTGACCCAATTGCACGCATGAACGCCAAACACTGAACATTCTCAGCAGCTTTCAGAGCTTAACTATATCTGTGAAAAGCAGAAGTAGAGCATTCATGTTGGCGTCAGTGGCTTGACGCAGCTGAGCAGTAGCTAATAATTCAAGGCGGTAACATAACCTTATACTCTTCCTATTTTCACCATCACGACAACCCTGCGAGGTGGGTTGGCATGAAAGAGAGGGACGGGCCTAAAGTCACCCATCTGGCTTTCGGGCCTAAGGTGGGGCTAGAACTCACAGTCACCTGGTGATCGGCACAAAGTCACCCAGCCAGCTTATTGCCTAAGGCAGTGTTTCTCAACCTTGGCAACTTGAAGATGTCTGGACTTCAACTCCCAGAATTCCCCAGCCAGCGTTNCCCCCATCTAGCCAGGCCCACCAAACTGGTATTAAAAAAAAAATTGAAACCCACCCCTGATGCATGATGCACAAGAAAAGGGTCAGCCATCACCGCTAGAGACAGAGCCGTAACATCAAGCTATGGAGGTCTGAGTGAGCAGAAACAGATTCCTCTCTCTCTGCACGGTGACCACAGAACTCAACCCATGACTTTACAAATGCCTTATTTGAAGAACTGCTTCGCTCAGCAGACCTTGTAACAAAGGACATCCCCGACCCGCTGCCAGCGGGCAGTTAACAAAGCATCCTCTGTCCCCCCCAGGCCCTAGGGAAATCCGCAGCGGCTCTAATAACGACGACCTTGGCTTCAGCCGGGCCTTGCTAACCCATCCCTGGCTGGTTGTCACTTGCTTTAAAGGAACTCTCACTGGTGGGAGAAGCGACACGTGCAACGTTGGTTATTTCTATGGCATCCTGTCTCTGCAAATGCCGCAAACCGGAAGCAACGGACATCCCAGGAAGGGATTTATGACCCCAAGTGCGTTTCATAAAAAGTGGGGGCTTTTGTGCATTGCCAAGTTGCTGACGCCAGGGGTGTGAACGACAGGGTGGATTGAGAGCGAGTCGATTTGAGCCACGATTTAAATCACAAGCAAAAAGTCTTGGTTTAAATCAACTCAATTTAAACCATCATTTTGAAAGAGCAGCTATCGTCTCTGTCCCCCCAAGTGGCTCCTGATCTGATCCGCTGTTGACTATATTGCAGGATATACAGCCTCGCGCTACACCACTAAGTTCCGTTTCATGCTGAATAAACTAAATTATGAATGTATCTTAAATAGAACACTATCTTTAGATAGAGTTTTACTCCAAAAACGTTTCGTTAAAATAAACTTGATAAAAATTAAAAAAAAATCCGATTTAAATTTTTAAAAACCCTTTTTTTTTAAAAATCTAACCTGGTGGTGAACGGGCAGGTTTCTCTTTGTTTTAATTTCCCTGTTTGCATTAGCTCCATTCTAAGGGGTCTCGGTCCTCTGGGGCAGCAGGTACAGGTGTGACAAGGTAGACCCAAGAGGCTTCACCACTTCACCTCAGGAGGGCGCTGTGCCCGCAGCTTTGACGGAGGTTGTGGTGATGCAACCAGGAGACTGGGAGTTCTAGTCCCGCCTTAGGCATGAAAGCCAGCAGGGTGACTTGGAGCCCAAACACCAGGAGATGGTTAAGAACCCTCAACAGTGTTTCTCATCCTCACTTTTTAAGACGGGAGGACTTCAACTCCCAGAGTTCCCCAGTCAGCGCAGAGAATCCTGGGAGTTGAAGTCCACCCTTTTTCATTCAGAAGAAAAGGTCAACATGAATTTGAAATGTCTGGCTGCTTACCAGGATCCAAAGCCTATCGGTCGCCTATCATAATCGGGAAGGTCTGGCACAACTTTACACGCTTCCATGTTCAGATACTTAAATATGTGGATTTTTCCTTTTATACATATCTAGAAGGGGTGGGGGGGAAGACAAAGCATTTTTTATTTGTTAACAATTTTACCCACTATATTCTAGGATTGTTGATTTAAATGTCCTTTAAATGTTTCAATGGTAGTATGCTGTAAGAGATCCAGAGTTATTGCATACAAGGTGGGCGGCAAATAAATTTCATAAATACCGCATTTTTCAGAGTATAAGACGCACTGGAGTATAAGATGCACCAAGGTTTTGAAGAGGCAAATTAAAAAATAAAGTAGGTAGGTAGATAGAGGGATAGACAGGGAGAGAAAGAGAAAGAAATACAGTAGGTAGGTAGGGAGGGAGAGAGTAGTTAGGTAGGTAGGTAGATAGAAAAAGGGATATATAGAGAGAGAAATAGAGAGAGATAAAGAGAGAGAGTGTGTAGGTAGGTAAAGGAGTAGAGAGAGAGAAATAGAAAGAGAGTAGGTTGGTTGGTAGTTAGAGGGAAACAGAGAAATAGAGAGAGAGAAATACAGTAGATAGGTAGGGAGAGAGAGAGAGGGTAGGTAGATAGGTAAGTAGAGGGCTAGAGAGAGAGAGAAAGAGAAATAAATAGATAGGTAGGTGTTTCTGCTGGCACAGCACTTGATCAATGTAATTCTCATCAATCAGTTAAAGAGCTTTCCAAAAGGAAAAAAGAAAGTTTTTGCACTCTGCAAACCTCCCAAAAATGGCCCGTTTTTCATAAAAACGGGCCCGTTTTTTTTTCTTTTCAAAAAAGAGGCATCAGTAGCTTGGGGGGGGAGGGTGCTTTCAGGTTGCTCCTCGGGGGAGAGGGGAAACGAGCAAAAAAACAGCCCGTTTTTCACAAAAACAGGCTCATATTTTGTCAAAAAATTGCATGCATAGCTTTGTGGAGGCTTATAAAGTGCTGCTGGGGGATGGGGGGGGGCAAAAACGGCCCATTTTTTGCTCATTTCTGCCCTCCCCAGTCCCCAAGAGCTCTCGGAAAGCCTTCATAAGGGTATGCACGGCCATTTTGGTGAAGGGGGCGGGGATTCGGGAGGCAAAAAATGCTGTATTCGATGTATAAGACACACCCAGCGTTTCACTCTCTTTTTTTAAGGAAACAAATGTGCGTCTTATACTCCCATAAATACGGTATGTTTCGTATGTAAATAAATACATTTTGAAAGCAAAGCAGTCCATATGAAACCTAAAGCTATTTTTTAAGAGGTTTGGTCAGGCAAATGTCCTGTCCTTTCCCCACAGTGATTAAAAAAGGTCAGACCCAGAGATTCGGATCAGAGCAGATCAGAGATAAAACCACCACTGAAAATATATAGCCTGGTTTTGACAATAAATGTAAACTCTTTCTGAAGACTACAGCACCGCGTTCTATAAGTCTTTAAAGAAATAAATTGATCCAGCTGAATATATGATGGCAGGTGGTTAAGAGTTAGGTAAGTCTTTAATGGAAGAACACTTTCTATATAAAAGGACATAAATGTCAATTTTGCAGTTTTAATGCCCAATATTTTAATCTTCTTTCTCTGTCTCTCTCCCTCCCTCACTCCCTTCTTTCTTTTCTCACTCTCTGTCTGACGTACAACTAACAAGGCAAATCACTAGTATATAAACAAAGAGCAAATCTCACTCCCTTCTAGCACTGATGACGTTGTCTAATCTGGTAATGAAACATCTCTAAGAAAACAACAAAGCTTCGACATGTCAGTTCAATATTGAGCTGCAAATAACTTCTTCTAAATGCTAAATTCTCCAGTTTTCCTCCGATGGCTCCAGCTTCGAATAACCTTTGTGCTACTTTCCCCGTAATACTCCCCGTTTTTTGCCTGATTGCCCCGTATACCATTAGTCTCAAATGTTATTTAATCATCTGTTTTCATCAGCTATCAATTGCAGTTTCCTTTTTTGGGACTTCAAATGCCAAAGCCTCAAGCAGACTCTTTCATTTTGTGATAGTCGAGGGTGTGGGATTAAATGGGGGATACACTAAGTCTTTAAGTGGAGGTTGGGGGATTTGTAAATGTATACTGACACATAGGCCATTCTTGGGGGATGGCCCCATGCCTCATAAGCTACTGAAGCATTGTTTCTGAATAGGGCCATTATACACTTGCACAGACAGCATCAATGACCACAACTCACAGCAAGAGCAAACTAATCGACTGTACAGTGATTTTTAGCCTCCTGGTTCCGAGATTTAAATCGTAGGATGCATTTCCATGGATTGTCTCTTGTCCAAGGTGAATTCTACCTTGCCCACAAAGCACAGATCTAATGCCACAGACTTAACAACTATGCAAGAGAGCAAAAACACATGAAAGCCAAGTTTCCTCCAATGAAATAACGCGATTGGGTTGAGAGAAATCACAGTTTTAGTCACAATTTAAAATTTTTAAGACTTGGAGATACGTTACCTGGGCGGGGGGAGACTGCAAGGGGTTGTTATCTAAGGTGATTGTCTGTAAGTGCCTGAGGTTCCGGTAACACACTGGGATTGTTGTGATTTTATTGCAGGAGAAATCTAACCGAATCAAAGGCAGGTCGGCAAGTTCTGCAGGTGTAGACACACAAACACAACACAACACAATAAAAATGTTATACGTCAACTAATTATGGAAGCAATAAGACATACATAATCAAAAAAAAAAAAAAAAAGAGCACATTTTAACTAATATTCCGCAAAAGAGCAGTGACATTAAAACTTCCTTGTGCGTCTGTGTGTGTGTGTGTATGCGCATGTTTTTACCTTCAGGTAAATGTACCAGGTGATTCCTCCTGATGTTGAGATCCCGCAAGGAATTTAGATTGCCAATCTGGGGAGGGATTGTATGGATCTCGTTGCAGCTGACATCCTGGAAAACAGGCGAGGTCGATTTAGAAATGTCACGTTTTGTCCCCCCCCTCATGGTCCGCATACAAAGTTATTTGAAGGACCGTCTTTTCCTGATCACATCTAAGGAGGACCATCCGATGGGACCGAGAGGAAGGGCCTCCTCCACGGTGGCTCCCTCCCTCTAGAACAGTGTTTCTCAACCTTGGCGACTTTAAGTCCTGTGGACTTCAACTCCCAGAATCCCCCAGCCAGCTGGGAGATTCTGGGAGTTGAAGTCCACAGGACTTGAAGTCGCCAAGGTTGAGAAACACTGCTCTAGAACATCAATCCCTGCAGAGATAGGATTGGGTCCCACCTACACGCTCTTTCGCCAACCCTGAAGACCTGATTCTGAAAAGGAGCCTGGGGACCCCAGAGGGACACAGAGTTCACCAAACGACTCTTTGGGGTGTTGTCACCCAAAGGGGGCAGGAGAGAGGGGTTATTGTTTTTATATTGGGTTTTTTAATCTTTGTAAACCCCCAGGAGTCACTAAGAATGAGTCAAGCTGCCAGATATATTCAGATGGACAGACGGACGATAGCTGGAGGGGGAGGGAGGGAGGGAGGGAGAGAAAGATAGCTAGCTAATTAGATAGCTAGATGGTAGTAGATGAAAGATAGATAGATGAAAGATAGATAGATGATAGATAGATAGATAGATAGATAGATAGATAGATAGATAGATAGATAGATAGATAGATAGATAGATAGATAGATA